TTTTTGAGAAAAAAAAATTATAAATTGCTTCAGAATAGAGATAAAAACTTAATTGAGGATGTCATCTCTTCACACATCACTTAATAAGTAGTGCAAAATCCATTAAAATTTATTCATTAGTTCCTCATAAAATTGGACACAAAGTTGCCTGTTTTAACTTTGATGGAATAGGGCCTACACCGTCTCACCTTAAAAAACTTCAATAACATTGAAAATATGACAAATCATACAAATCCACCATTGATAACAGAACACTTTTTTATTTTTATGAATGTTTACAAAACAAGTTTTAAATATCAATTTGAAAGTAATATGCATATGAGTAATATGTAACTCCCTTAGTTATTAATATATCATACTATAGTTCTATTTTGTATTCCTTAAAATAGGAGAGGGGGATGGAGATTTAAAAATTATGAATTTTTCTTATGGCAGCCATGTTCACCGGTGATACCCATGATTCGCAAAACATAACGAATGACTGAAATTAATTATATTTTTGAAGACCTTCGAGCGTGATTTCTTATTCTTACACTATTGTCTTGCACATGACAATGGGATTAAGTTTAGGTTTTGGTATGGGAGAAAAGCATTAGCCCATTGTTTTTTCAGAGTGTTTATTTTTAGTCACTTCAACTCAAAAAAAGTAGACTTTTATAACAATACAATTGAATTAATTTAATCCAATAGTAAATGGTCATTTTCAAATGTATAAAATACAATTACAATATACAACATATTTCAAAAATAAGTTTATAATTACTTAATACTTAATGTACATCACGAGACAGTATTTGCAGTTTCCATTTTTTCTACTTCAGCATCTGCCTCTATAATTTCCTCTGGCTCATTTTCATTAACTTCACATTCTACATCAATTTTCACACTATTTGAGTCACCTTCTCCTGATAAGTCTCCAGTTGGTTTATTCTTAAATTTGTTAACATCTAAAAAATGAAAATGAAGAATGGGAAGTGAAATACAAGATATTTTAAATTCACATTAGGATAATTCCATCTGAAATTGGCTGAAAAAAGCATAACACCTTCCAATTGGTCTAAAATTTTTTGGTATGTAATTAAATGTGATTAAAAAAAGCTAGAAAAATGACATTAAGAAGTTTGACCTTTGACCTTGTTTCAAAATTATACCCAAAATAAGTGAATTTCCTGAGAATTGTAGATGAACGCCTGAAAAAATTAAAATCTCAAGTGAAAATCCATTCTAACATAAATTTTTTTTCGCCTAATAGTAAAAAGTTCAAAGAAAAAAGTTTTTTTGTATTGAGCCTCATATCATTTGCATTTTATACCGATGTTTTACTCTTCTTCTGCCCCTGATGCTTCTCAGAGTTGGGTTAGCTTTTTGACATACACCTTTTCACTTTCCTGGATACATACGTATATACGGAGTAACAAACGTTGTATAGGGAAAGTTATGTAATATTGTGGAAAACAGATTTCGAGATTTCAACGGATGTATACGTTTTGGGGTATACATTGAACATCGAACACCGAAAAACTGTTTTTCTGTTTGTTTTTTTTCAAAATATCTGTCAGTCTGTCAACACTACTAGTGCCTAAATCATGCATAGGACTTTTTCCAAATTGAAGAAACCCCTATCTATTGGGATAGAGTTGAAGCTTTGAAATTTTTCAAAACAGCTCAAACTCTTTTCTTTAAATTTCTTGTAAGAATGGAGTTAAATACATTTATAAATATGGTATGTCTGATTTTTACTGTAGACTCTGAATTTTCAAAAAAATAGGAAAAGTTCAAATTTTTTTCAGTCTTCCTACAACTACAAAAGTAATGATAGAGATTTTTCCTTGAAATGAAATTTCTTATCCATAATTAGTTCTTTCATTAAAGTCATGTACATGTTTTTGATAATTTTACTAGTTTCCAAGCCATATTGTGTGTAATATGTGCAATTTAAAAAAATAACGAAAACAAGATTTTCTTGAAAATAACTAAAACATCTTTCTTTAAAGTATTGGTAGGGATAGTGCTAAATATACTTAGTAAGATATGTCATAAACATCATATTGCTCTATTCTTCTGTTTTTTGAAAACTTTAAAAATGTAATTTTTCTAAAATCTCTCATGCCGTTCATATGCAGATTTCTAGCAATTTGTAAACACTGTTATATTTGTGAGTAAAAGTGCTTCAAATTACTTCAATTGAAGTTTTTCGACAACTCAAAAATTTTCTTTGAAAAAGAGCTTTAAATTTCCACTCTACAGTAGTGCATAAACCCGCTTTCTTAAAAACAACTCCAAATTTACATAAAATAAAAATTAAAATTGCCATTTAGGATAAGGTTTTGCTATTGATTCATCTTTGGCATATCCTGTATACACACGTCCAATGTTCCTCTTGACCTCCCAGGTGATCTCTTTCCCTCAGGCCTGGCTTCGATAATTTGTTTTGGCTTTCTATCCTTCACCATTCTATTAACAAGTCTTTAAGTAGTTTTCCATTTCCTTGAGTAGCGCTGTAACTTTTAGTTCCTCTCTAATTGCATTATTTCTTATCCAATCTCTTCTTGATGGTTTTACACCCAAATTCAAAAGTGCTCTTTTTTTCTAACCTAAATTTATAAGATACATAATTTTTTATTACCCCAAATAATCCAATTTTTAATTTGAGAACATATTTTTCAAAAAGCATAAAAATCTACTTTTCTAGATCTAATCTTACATTTCCATCACAGTTAACGTTTGTAATTTCAGATTGCGATCAAAGCATACAATCATTTAATATGTTCTCCATAGAAATCACAGAAACATGTAGGTATACGAAAATTAATACAAAAGTAAATGAAACTAATAGATCTATATTATTGATAATATATAAACCCACGTGTTTAACACTAACACACATTATTGAACACAGATTTGAATGCATAAAAGACTTGAACAAAATTCATATAGAAGGAAGGCTGGACGGCTGTCAAGCTCGCAAGCAAGGTGCTTCATTACTTGATTTCATGTTTATTTTATTTTAAATATCTGACTTGTACAAACATTTTGCCAAGGGACTGGAATATGTTTGAAAAGGAAATTTTTTGGCTGCTTTTGTTTTGTACTGTTTTATTAACAATCTTGTTATTTGTTGAATGTAGTGATAATGTGAAATAAATGAACAAGTGGCATTGTAGCCTGTCTCCTGTAGTAATACACCTTCTTAGACTTATATATCACTCTTACAGGTGGTAATCTTTTAATAGACAAATATCATTATTCCTAACACAAACAAAAGAAGATAATGATAACTTACATTATTGAATGCAACTACAAAGTGCTATTTTATTTTACTCACAATTGATAACTTCAAATATTAGTGATGTATCTTATTTGTAAAATGAAAAATGGAAATTAAAAACATTAAATTTGCAACAACACTGACAACTGATTTCCCCAAAAGGATTGTCTTGGGCAAGGTATGTAATGGCACACAGTCATTAGAAAGAAAGTTTTACTTTTACTTAGAACTCATAACCTCTAGTAAGCTATTCATAGTTACTTTGCCCCTGACCTTGACATGCCTGCTTCACGCTGTCCAGCATTCCTTCTGGAGGTTGTTCAATAAGTTCTTAGAAAATCCAAGGTACAGTGCTCGTAGAATCAAAAATAAATCTTTTCTAGTAAACAGCACTCCTAACTAGTCAGCTGTTTGAGTTTAAGCTGTATCCATCACATAGTTTCATTGTTGACAATTGAAGTAAACAATTTGCATTTATTTATAAAAATGGATAAAAGTGAGTTTTAGGCAGTGATTAACATTTGTATTCAAAAGGGTTAACGTCATAACAAATCAAAGCTAACAATATATAGAAAATCATATAAACATGTAAGTATTATGAAAATTAATTACAAAAGTAAATGAAACTAAATAATCTATATTATCAATAATATAGGGTTACACTATACCTAACCTTAACCATGTGTTTAACGGTAACACATATTCTTGTTGCGGTTGAATGACATGACAGGATGGATGGGCATGTCCACTGACAAAGTTCAATTAGTCTTTATTAGAAAAATGTTTAGAAAACAACTTTTTAGAAGATTTTTTTAAAAAACATAATCTTTTTTTCACCTCTTACATACCTTTTTTTAAAGCGTGTTTTACAATTTTTTTTTAGGCTGTAGTTTTGAAAGCTCAGTGGATTTTTGTAAATAATTGCGAACTCTAATCCCCCATAATTTTGGCCTCAGGTGTGACCTGTGCCATTGTGTATGAAAGAAGGAATTTTTTTCCTTTTTAGGAAAGAATGGTATCTTTCTTGATTTCTTTGCTTTAGTCAGTTAATAATGACACTCACTAAGTATAATACAATACTTATTTGTTATTGTTTTTCCCTTATCAAATCAATCAAAGTAATTCTGTGAGGATCCCAACAAGAACATGAACATAACCTGTGCTAGTGTTCATTCGTATTGCCTTCAAAAATCCAGTTTTATTTGTTCTTTTGTCTCTTGGAGTGTAGTAATGTATCCAAAGTTCATAACTGTGATGATACATCATGTGATTGATGATGCCTTTCCGGAATTGTGATGAAAAAGTGCCAAAACAAGCCTCAAAATCGACCACATGACTCTGCGTTTATTCTCTTCTGTCAGGGAACGCAGCACCCATCTTGCCACGATTATTTTCACATTTCAATTTTTCATGCAAAATTAAAGTGACTTGCTTTCGCATATTGCCTGTGGCCTCAAGTATTTTCCACACTTGATTCATTGATCACTTAAAACCACAATCATAGATTTTATCAATCATGTTTGAGGCGTCCAGGACAGGTGTTCATCTTTTGTGGATGTCCAAACCCATCTTTTAAACTCATTTTTTACTAATCCCACCAGTTTGCAAAGACAGAGTAAGATGTGCCCATGAACTTCATCTAACTCAGCCTTATTTGTCTATTGACGTCTAAACCCTTTTGAATACAAATTTAATCACTGCCTAATAACTCACTTTTATCCATTTTTATAAATAAAATGCAAAATTGTTTACTTCAATTGTCGAACAATTGAAACTATGTGGAGGGATACAGCTTTAAACTCAAACAGCTGACTAGTTAGAGTGCTGTTTACTAGAAAAGATTATATTTGATTCTACCGAGCACTGTACCTTGATTTTCTAAGAAAACTTATTTGAACAACTCCAGAAGAATGCCTGGGACAGCGTGAAGCAGGGCATGCTGTCAAGGTCAGGGGCCAAAGTAAACTATTGAATAGCTTATTAGAGGTTATGAGTTCTAAGTAAAAGGAAAAACTTTCTTTCCAGACTGTGTGCCATTACATACCTTTGCCAAGGACAATCCTTTTGGGGAAATCAGTGTCCCAGTCGTTGTTTGCAAATTTAATGTTTTTAATTTCCATTTTTCATTTTACAAATAAGATAGCATCACTAATATGTGAAGTTATTCCCAATTTTGAGTTTAAAATAAAATAAGACTTTGTAGGTTGCATTCAATAATGTAAGTTATTCATTATCTTCTTTTGTTTGGTTAGGAATAATGATATTTGTCTAATTAAAAGATTACCACCTGTAAGAGTGATATATAAGTTAGAAGGTGTATTACTACAGAGACAGGCTACAATGCCCACTTGTTCATTTTTTCACATATCACTACATTCAACAAATAACAAGATTGTAAATTAAAACAGTAACAAAACAAAAGCAGCAAAAAATTTCCTTTCAAACCATATTCAGTCCTTTTCCACTTGGCAAAAATGTTTGTTACAAGTCAGATATTTAAAATAAAATAAACATGAAATCAAGTAATGAAGCACCTGCTTGCGGAGCTTGACAGCCGCTCCAGCCTTCGCTTCTATATGAATTTGTTCAAGTCTTTTATCTGCATTCAAATCTGTGTTCAATATGTGTGTTAGTGTTTAAACACGTGGGTTTAATATATATCAATAATTAGATCTATTA